AATTCTCTTCACGATGGGTACATAGCTTTATAAATATCTGTAAATACTGTGAACGTAAATACATGACAAAACTCAAAACTTTAAGTACATAACCCACAGTATACATGGAGCTTCTATGACAATAGATACCTATATACATAAAATGAACTAGACCCAAACACCCACTAGAACTGTAGCGGGCTCACCATAAGCTGAGTAGTGAAGAAGGTCCATATCAAAGATCCATATCATCTTTTAGAAGTATACCTGCATCCATTAAAAGATGCAGCGCCCCCGGCAAAAGGGACGTGAGTACATGTGGAATAGTACTCATAAGTAAGGCAGTCAAAGCAACATATAAAAATACGGTAACTCAAATAAGAGGCAAATAAAGTACATCAAGAAACTACGAAACATCCCACAGGATCGCATTTCAAGTCTTATTATACTTGCATCATTCTAAACTTCTTTTAGGACCAACTGAGCCATATGAACTATACGTGGAATACATAATATAGTGTAATTGTAATAACATGTACAAACAAGGCCAATGAAAATGGCACTTTCCTCTTTTATTTTTCACATATATATTTCATAGTCCGTCCTTAGTGTTCCCATATCATAGTATACACCTATGCGTCTCATAGACCGTTCACAGTATCACCTATATAATATACCTATTTAAGCACTTGAAAATACAACATGAATATGATGAATCATGGTAACAATAAAAAGGCTTAGATAGCCATCAACGTCGAGCCAATTTACTAAGATCTTCCATTAATCATTTATAGATATTAAGTCGGGGATCCTCTATAACCACCTTCACACAAAGCGGCCCTGCCTCCTCTCCCCAACATATGCGGCTGGAGGTGTATCGTGATACCACAATCTCTATACAAAGCGGTCATGTGGCCTCACCCCAATATATGCAGGTGGAAGTGTATCACAATACCACAATACCTACACAAAGCGCCTCTGCCGCCTCACCCGAATATATGCGGATAGAGGTGTATCACAATACCACAATCCCTACACAAAGCGACCTTGCTGCCTCACCCCAATATATGCGGGTGGAGGTGTATCATAATACCACAATCTCTACACAAAGCAATCTTACCGCCTCACCCCAATATATGCGGGTGGAGGTGTATCACAATACCATATTCCTTACACAAAGCGGTCCTACCGCCTCACCCCAATATATGCGGGTGGAGGTGTATCACAATACCATATTCCTTACACAAAGCGGTCCTACCGCCTCACCCCAATATATGGGGGTGGAGGTGTATCACAATACCACATTCCCTATACAAAGCGGTCCTGCCGCCTCACCCCAATATATGAGGGTGGAGGTATAATCCCAATCACAATACCATATATAAACTCAAGGCGACATAGTTTGTCATTACATTTAAGGTCGTAATTTCTCATATCGTTGGAATACTTCATGTCCATGCTCATTATAGAGAAACACAACTCATTACATTAGCACATGCATGGTAAATCAATAAGTCGATTTCAATGGCACATGGGTCCAATTTCCTTTCTTAAGGTTCATCATCACTTAGCATAGGACATCTCCCTTTCATCTCGTTATTCACTCACTTGACATCTTGAGGCCATTAGCTAAGTTCATGACTCTTGGGGACTTAACGTCGAAGTCATTTACATTAATTATTTTAGTAGCATACATACTATGATTGAAAGAATAGGGACATACAACACCTCATAATTCTTATTTTGGCAAATGATCACATTTCATGTTCATACTATCACTTACTTGTACTTGCCATGGGTGATCATAGGACATCAAGAACATTTAAAATATTTATGAACACCATAGCCTCTCCTCATGAGGGAATAGGAGCTTATAACACATTGGAAACATAAGTACAAATACATTCATAGCATAACCTTTCACACCATATATCACTTCACAATTACTTTCAACTACTTACAACATCATTATTTTATTGACTCCCTTGGCCATACATATTATTCTTCATTTATGGAACTGTGGCCATATATCATATTTTTCACTTTCATTTCTTTACTTTCAAGGATTATCATCATAAACATCATCATATAGAATACTCTTGAAATACCTTTTCCGAAAAAGGGCAATACACAATCTCGACTTGTGAATATGTGAGAACTCAAAACCTATTGGAAATACCTACCAAGCATAGCACTAGTTTGATCTTGATGAACAAAGCACTTCAGATTCTTCATCTCTCTAGAACACTCTCACTTCTCTCTAAAATCATCATATAATAGCCCCAAAATAAGCCCCAAATGATATTTATCAAAATGGGCCGGGTTATAAAAATAGGAAAATGGACCCTCTGAACTCAGGTCTGCTGTCGCACAATGGACCACAAAACTGATACCCGGAATTGGGCTGCACTGGTCAGGTTTGCGACCATTTTGCGGTCCGCATACCAATTTTGCGGTTCGCATAATGATTCTGCGGTCGCATATCTGACCGTAAAATTACATTCTTTCGGCCTTTGGTAATGTGGTCATAACTTCTTGTAGGAGTATCCAAATGACAAACGGTTTGAAGCGTTAGAAACTAGACTCTAAGATATTTCATTTGATAGGTTGTGAATCACATTACAGTTTATATATATGTAGATATGCTCATCCAAAATTTAGTCTTGTGCGTACTCTTTTCGAACTTTAGTCTATTATGTAATTTTCAAGTTGACTTAGACTTAGGGCTCTCCTTAGACCCCACACCACTTATAATATGCCTCGTACACTTATTATCATATGTAATTAAAATCCACCATATTAATAGTCCTCGTTTGCACAAAAAATAATATAACTAGCACACATCAACTTTCTTAATAATGCTTAAGTACTTCAAAATTTTCTGGGGTGTTACAACCACCCAAGTCATTTTCTTCCTCCACTACTCTATTTGTATTCAAAAATCTAGAAATGGGCAATCAATAGCGACAACAAGAACATCTAGCGCCCAAGAATTTGATAACTTTTTGAAACGCAAAAGAAGTACAATGAGTACTTGTTGAGAGTAGTAGTATAAATTTTGTTAGTGGTATAACATAACTTAACCATAGTTATAATACTAACTAAAGTCTATAGTTAGTTATCCATAGTTCATAGTTAGTTATAGTAGTTAGACTTATATAAATAGACATGTTACTGTACAACTACCATAACAAGAAATGAAGATTCACTTTCTTCCTCAACTTTTCTCTTCCACTCTTAGCCGCGATTGCTTCTCTCTTCTGGGTTCGATCTCGTTCCACAAATTTAACATGATATCATAGCAAATTACTAAGCGATTCTAGGGATTTCTTTGTAAGATTGAAGAAAATTGAGAGAATCAGCTTCAATTGTTTCTTCAATTTCTTTCACTTTGGGAACGACGATCTATGATCGGAACCCTAATTTTGCTTCAATTGTGTAATTGCGAGTAGATTTTTGCAATTTTCCATGACGATTGCTGACGATTCCAGTAATAGCACCACCGCAGCAGTGGAACCAGCTGGAACTGTGAATAGTGGGAACTTCTTTCTAGATCATAATCACCCACTTTACTTACATCCATCTGATGGACCAGGCTCGTTGTCAGTTAGTGTTTTGTTAACCGGAATGGAGAATTATACGTTGTAGAATCGAGATATGAAAGTAGCTCTTTTAGGAAAGAATAAACTTTGTTTGATAGACGGTACTACTTTAAAAGGTGATTTTGGACCAGGATTAGCTCATCAGTGGGATCGTTGTAACACCATTGTTACTTCGTGGTTGATGAGCAATGTTAATTCACACCTCCTAACTAGTGTTCTATTTTCTGAAAATGCTCAAACTGTTTGGGCGCAACTTAAGGAATGATTTGACAAAGTAAATGCTTCGAGGCTTTATTACTTACACAAGGAGATCTTTACTTCTACAAAGGGTATCTTTTCTATTTCTGTTTACTTTACCAAATTAACTGATCTTTGGGCTGAATATGATGATATATAACCACCATCTCCTGTTAAGGATTATGTTGAATAGCTAGAATTTTAGAGGATATTGCAGTTCTTGATGGGGTTGAACGATCGTTTTGAGCAAGTTAGAAGTCAAAGTTTGATGATGCCCAGTGTCCCTTCCATTAACCAAGCTTATGTTATGATAGTTCAAGATGAAAGAACGAGAATGATCTCAGGAAACCACTTTAATATGCATACAGGGCAGGTTGGGCATACTGCTATGTTCACCACACAGTCAGGGAACAAGCCAAGGAAGAAGGCATGTTGCTACAAGTTGATAAAGTGTGAATTCTGTAACAAACCAGGTCATTCGAAAGATAATAGCTATAAAATAGTGGGCTATCCATCTGACTTTAAACCTAAAAGAAGAGGTAATGCAGCATCGATAAAAAGTAATGACCCACCCACAGGAAGCAAATAGAGGAGTTCCAACACACATGTTCACAAATGAACAATATTCTCAAATCCTACAACTATTGAACAAAAGCTCACAAAAACACATGCAATGCTCTTTCTCTAAAATAGAATAACAACAGCTATACACTAACCAAAGTCCCCTACACGCACCCACCGATGGACCCGCCAGACGGCGCCGCTCTGGCACATCTGGAAGGTCAATCGACTCCAAATTCAACGCCGAACCAACCTACTGAACTTATTGATCCAAAACTGTCCTATGCTACCAAAGTTGTCTCCACCTCGAATGCTCCGACTCCCCAAAATTGCCATGGCAAGGACTCAGTCATAGCTACTCACACCACTCATAATGGAATTCCAGCGGTTCTCTTCAAAGCAACGGATTATTATGGTGTTATGGCCGAAGAATGCAAGCTCATAATTATTGGGCTATTCCTCAAACCAAGGCCACAAATTGACAAAATTAGGTCAAAATTCAAAGAGTTAATATCGATTAAAGGCTCTGCCAAGATTGGGGTTTATGACAACTATAATGTTTTCCTTTATTTCACCAATGAAGAAGACTTTAACTAAGTTTGGTTTAAAAGGGTGATTGAAATGGAAGGGCAGCAGATGTGGCTGCAAAAATGGTCCCCTGATTTCAAGCCTGAAGAGGAACTGCATATTGCTCTGGTATGGGTCCTTCTTCCTGGTTTACCTTTTCATATGCACACATGGAACTATGTTAAATATGTGGTGAGTGCAATTGGTACTCCCCTTGAAATGGATTTGGCTATTAGAGGAAGAACGAGGCCTAGCATGGCTAAAGTCAGAGTTGAAATAGACCTGCTTAAAGACCAGCCAAATTCTGTCTATGTTGGACAGACATACGACAATGCTCCTCAGAAAGGTTTTGTGCAAAAATTAGAATTCGAAGGCATGCCTAAATACTATAAATTTTATCGAAAGATGGGACACAATATGATCAACTGTAGAGCTCTAGAAAGGAAGAAAGCTGTTGAAAACAGAGAATTAGAAGCTCAAAAAACTGTGGCAAATCAGAGTGATGAAACAAAAGAAAATGAAATTGATAACAAACAGAATGCTTCTGAATATGGCAGTGCTATAAATAATGATCAGAATAGTGACAATAGGATACAAAATCAAGTGGAACAAAAGAGTGGTGATGAACTGGAGAATCACCATCAAAAGCCTTCAAGCAATATCAAAGATAGATCCAGCAGAAAAGTTAAGAAGCGCAAACAGAAGAAATTGCCCAAGAAGAAATCTAAAGTTATCTCCAAACCTATGCTTAATCTGTCTGATGTCACAAACAGGGGTAAGAAGAACAACAAAGAAATCACAGTGGATCTTAAAAATTTGAATCAGGAAAGTGATCATGAAGAGGCTAATAATGAACAGAGGCAGTCGAGTAACATTAGAAAGGGGGATCACTTTGGGGATGCCAATAATCAAGATACTTCTGGTAAAAACCCAAGCAGTCAGGATCACACTGGAACTTCCAATAATAGTGAAACTAAAGAAACTTATCAGGAATCGATGCAAGAAAATGATGATCAAAATAAAAATGGAGATCAAGAGAAAAGACAATAAGGAAAGAAAGCTCCTACCATGAGATATTATGTCAATGAATCAACCAGTGTTCCTTCAGAGATTTAGAAATCTTCCTTGGATCAATGTGGTAGTTGATCTCAATATAGAACCCGATCCAAAACAAGACAAATATGTTACAAGCCAACAAATTGAAGTGACCTCCCCTAATAGGGTGACAATTATGATTCCAGAAGACCAGATCCAAACATATTCGAAGGAAGGATCCTTTCAGGTTATAGTAGGTAAAAAAAAAAGGAAGAAAAAAAGAAGAAAGAACAAAAACAAAGATACTACACCTCCTAAAGGAGGACACTCATGCTGACTTGAATTCTGTTTCCATGATAAGTGTAATATTTTGGAACATTAGGGGAGTCAATACCAAAAAAGCCTTGCCAAGGCTAAAAATGTTGATTGCCATCTATAACGTGGAACTTGTTGCCATTCTGGAACCTTTTGCCAGTATCAATCAAATTGAAAGGTGCAGGAGATTCCTTGGCTATCAACATTGCGTCTCTAATACAAATTGTCAGATTTGGATCATGTGGTCAGGCAACAACATGGCCACTATATTGAACAATCACGAGCAACAACTTACTATCAAATTGGATTATGGGGCTGCTAACAGTGATCTCTATATTACAGTAGTGTATTCTAAATGCACTCCTGAAGAAAGGAGAGATATGTGGAGTAGCTTAGAGTTAACTAATCTACAGGTGAAGGTTCCATGGTGCATTGGGGGTGATTTTAATGTCATTCTAGACCCAGATGAGAAAAAAGGCAGCAGACCTTATAGAATGAGTAAAAGTCTTGAATTCAGTACTTTCATGGATAACTGTGGAATGATGGACTTGGATTTTGTTGGGCCAAAATACACATGGTGTAATAATTGGGAGCCTAGAAGAAGAATATGGAAGAGGCTGGATAGAGTGTTTATCAATGATCAATTGTCCCAGGTTTTTCAAAACAACATAGTCAATCACTTGGCTAGAATTGGATTTGATCATAAACCTATTATAATTCAATGCCATGATTCTAACCAACGAGGGCCTAAATATTTCAAGTTTTTAAATTTTTGGACTAATCAACCATCCTTTTTGCAGGTAGTTGAAGAAGTCTGGAAGAATCAAGTTAATGGAAATCCTTTGTGGAGACTTCAACAAAAACTTAAAATGCTTAGCAGAAGGCTGACTCAATAGTCTAAAGAAGACATTGGCAATATTTTTGATCAAGTTTAATATTAAGAAAACAAAATAAAAGACTTGGAACAGAGTGATCTTATTAACAATAATGGCATCTCTAGGACTGAACTGAATATAGGCCAAGCGGAATACATTAGGTGGATGGGGATGACATTCTCAGGTTGAAAGCTAGGGTGAACTGGTTCAAAGAAGGTAATGCTAATACTAATTACTTTCATAGCACCATCAGAGATAGAAGGAGAAGACTTCAAATTCTCAAAATTAAAGACCACGGAGGCCACTGGATTGAGGGAGATTCTAACATTAGCAAAGCAGTTGTCCACCATTTCCAACAGTTCTTTAATATCAATCACCACTTCAATTATCATAATATCATCAATTGTATCTCTTAGTGTGTAAATGATGATGACAATGAAAACTTCACTGCCATTCCTGACACTGAAGAGATTAGAGATGTTGTATTCAACATGAGTCCTACTAGTGCAGCTGGGTCGGATGGATATAATAGAAAATTCTTCCAAACCTGTTGGGATATCATTAAGGAGGATATTATTGTTTTTGTTCAAGATGTCTTCAATGATAGGAGACTTACTAAGTTTTTTTCTCATACTTGCCTAGTTCTTATTCCTAAAGTGGACTCTCCTAGTAGTTTCTCAGATTTGAAACCTATTAGTTTGAGTAACTTTACGGCCAAGATTATCTCCAAAATCCTTTCCAGAAGATTGAATCCTATCCTAGGGAAGCTCATATAAGAGAATCAAAGTGGCTTTATTAAAGGTAGATTGATCACTGAAAATATTCTGCTAGCCCAGGAGATTACTCAAGGTGTGAACAAGAAGAACATAGGAGGCAATGTTATTATAAAACTCGACATGGCAAAAGCCTATGACAGAATGTCCTGGACTTTTCTGATGGCAGTAATGAGGAAATTTGGCTTCTCCAAAAATTGGATTGACCTTATCTAGGAGCTTTTACAAGGAATCTGGTACTCTATCATCATCAATAGGGCTAGAACTGGTTTTTTCACATCTACTCAGGGCCTCAAATAAGAACATCATTTATCCCTTTCATTGTTTATTATCGGAGTTGAGGTTCTTTCCAGATCTTTTAATGAGCTGAATGACTTTATTAGCTTCACTCCTTTTAGCATGGATCACAGAGGTCCAATAATCAACCATTTAGCTTATGCCGATGATATTGTTATTTTCTGTGGAGGCAACAACATGACTATCAAGCTTATCAAAAAGGTTATTGACAAGTATGAAAAGGATTCTGGGCAGAAAGTTAACAGTGACAAGAATTTCTTTATTACATCCCCTCACCACTGTGCCATAAGAATTAATAGAATCAGAAATGCTAATGGTTATATGGATAAGTCTTTCCCTTTCTCTTATCTTGTGTGCCCTATATACTATGGGAGAAAGACTAGCAATCTCTTTGATGGTATGCTCTCCAAAATTATCAAAAACCTCAATGGATGGCAAGCCAATATGTTGTCTTCTGGGGGGAGAATAATTTTGATCAAACATGTTCTGCAATCCCTTTCCACATACATTATGTCTGCTATGAATCCTCTTAAAGGAATTACTAAGCTCATGGAGAAACACTTTGCAAACTTCTTCTGGGGAACCAATGATGGTAAAAATAAAGATCATTGATCTTCATTGAACAACCTATGTCTCCCTAAAGATGAAGGAGGAGCCGGTGTCAGAAAAATGGAGGATATCATTGATACACTTAGCATTAAAAGGTGGTGGAGATTCAAAACTCAACCTTCCCTCTGGGCCAAATTTCTCAAGAGTAAATATTGCAAAAGAGCTCATCCGGTGAACAAAAGGCTAAATCCAATTTATTCTTATATTTGAAAAAATATCCTCAAAATCAGGAACAAAGCGGAGAGTAACATTAGATGGGAAGGAAAGGTAATTGTAGCTTCTGATGAGACAACTGGACTAGTAAAGGTGCTTTAGCCAATCTTTTATAAGGATGTGGGAGGTCTACTAAAGTACAGGTGAAATAATTCTTGGATAATGGAGAATGGAGTAATGGCAAACTCAATGAATTTCTCCCTGCTCATATTACTGATAGTATTGCTCACCTGAAAATTGGGGATCCAAATGAAGATGACTTCCCCGTTTGGATTATTTCTAATGATGGAAACTTTTATTCTAACTTAGCATGGCACTCTATTAGATTCAAAAAGCAAAAGAATGAGTTTATAAACAAAATTTGGCATAATTCTATCCCCTTCAAAATGTCTTTTATAACCTGGAGAATTTTTAAAAATAGGTTGCCATTTGATGATGTTATTTGCAGATTTGGTACTAATATCATTTCCATATGTTCTTGTTGTTCTTCTGCGCAGGTAGAAATAGTGCAACATGTCTTCAACAGTAGTAATACTGCCAACTTCATATGGAATTCCATTGGAAATGCACTTGGAATGAAACACCAACAGGAACCTGTTATTGCTACCTTCAAGAGATGGTGGGAGACAAGCGCCAACAATAAAGTACATAATCAAATCCTACAGATAGCTCCCACAATCATATGTTGGGAACTTTGGAAACAGAGGAATGCGTGTAGATATGAAAAACATAAGAAGTTTCAGTTAAACACTATGAGACATCAAAACATTTGGGCCTTAAAAGCAGCTATCTCTAACTTTGTTCCCGGTGACTACACTCAGATGGAATGGCCTTTATTATGTGATAAAATTGAGAGACTCAAACCATCCCAAAAATGGATGCAAGTTACATGGGAACCCCCTCTACCAGGAACTGTCAAAGTTAATACGGATGGTAGTTTTAGCAAGAAAAGTGGAAAAGCAGGCATTGGAGGGGTGGTCAGAGACTGCCACGGGAATCTTATTATGACATTTTCTATTCCTATCAGTTGTGATAGTAATACCATGGTGGAGGCTAAAGCAGCTGAGTTTGGAGTGAAATGGTGTAACCAACATGGATACACTAATTTTTCTCTCGAACTGGATTCAATGGTCGTAGCAGATATGCTCGCAGAAGGAGACACCAACAATGTGAAGATAAAGATGGTGATTGACAAAGCTTCCTACATTGTTAAACAAGCTAGAGTTAATGTCAAGCACTGCTTTAGAGAAGGTAATCAGGTAGCGGATTGTCTTGCTAAATTGGCTACCACCACAAATCAGAGGAGATTGTTTCATTCATTCCAACAAATGCCCAACAGTGCAAAAGGACCTTTCCTCCTAGATAAATGACAGCTTCCTAGTATAAGGATAAAGTATGAAAAATCTAATTTCTTTGTTAGCTAATTTGTTCATACGTTCTCAAGAAGGAGGGTGTATATAGATGAACCTCATCTTCCTGTTTTTGGGGTGATGGCATCACCATTGTTGTATTTTCTGAGGACGTTTTACTGTGAGAATGACCTATTTGCTCCCCCTTAAATGGATGGTATTAATTGTGTATTTTGTTGAAGGTGAGGAAAGTATAGGCACGAACAAGGAGCTGGAGGATATCAATAGACTACTGGGATTAGCCAACAAGAAACTGAACTATTTCTGCAGTCTTGTTGCTTTGAATTTCGAGCAATACACTAACGATGTTGTTACACTAGATGCAATGCTATTGGATGCAACAACAAAATGGCATAAGCTAAGTAAAAATAGCATCACAACTTAAATACAATTAGGTAATGATAGTGAGTTATGCACTGATGATACGATGACCTATAACATACATCTACTGTACAGTGAAGAGTGCTATGATTACTCAATGTGGAGGACATCACCACTCTATCAAGAAGCACTACTCAATGTGG